AAATTTATTCTCGGTAGTTATCTAAACTGTTAGTTCATTTATATCCCAGAATGATTGTTTTCGTGATACGTAAACATACACTTCGACTGAACTTACGAGCTCTAACCGTGGAACTTCAAATGTGCTGACTTTACTTCACAGCGCATACCTTCCACAACAGTGCCTTCTTTAAGTGCTAACAGCAGAAACTAATGGTTGGAACTTGGTGGTATGCAGTTTTAAAACAAATGGCAATGCTGTTGCATTTTTTATCTTGTAACCGTAATATCAACATTCGTCTCACCACAGCGTTCACATTTGTTCCGAATCTCTGTCACACACCTGTCATTGTCATTAGCTTGTTTCTTGTCAAGCATCTTTCCGTACTGAAGGTGATGAATTCTGTTACCGTCAAAGAACTGAAGGTTGAGGCGGTGGTCTGGCAGACAGGAAGCTAACGACACGGAATCATTTCCTCTCATCAAGTCATGTAGCAGGTTGCAGACCTTCCTTAATAGCTCTGCGGCTAGTAAAAACTGGGACAATCTGTTTCCCGGTCAGGGTATAAACGCAAACTCATCATAATTTACCAGACACTGAGACGAGTCTGCAGCGAATCTGAAAGTTTCCGTGTTACGCAATTGGCAACTGTGAGCCGGTAGCGGCAGCCAGAGAAGTCAGTGGCTGAGAGCTGGACTGCCTGGGTTTGAGTCCCTACAAAGGCATCTCGGCCGGGCTGATTCTGATGCCTGCTAAGCCTTTTGTCAGATGGGTACTGGGGATAAAACCGCTAGAAAATGAAGCCGGACACTCACCTGCATCTAATACCGAGGTACAGAATGCGTGAAGTTGCTCCAAGAACCATCCACACTTTAATGGCATTTGCTTGGAGACAGAAGGGCATTGTCACCTTATCGTTTTATTTCTGCATTGTTAACTAATAGTTCCTAAAATCAGCAGTTGCCAAACTTATTTGAGAATCTCTTGAGTATACACGAAATGTTTCAGTGGGTTTACCGCTATAATTTACAATGCCGGATTGCCTGTGTCGTTGTTATTTTCGACGTTTTTTATTACATATTGGATGGTTACGACAGAGTTAAAGATCTGGTAATGCTTCTTAGAATATTAAACTAGTTCGCTAGCCCTAATGTCTGTCACTGAAGACAGACATAGAGCAACTTCCGAAACGTCGTGTATGCCTACATTGAAGACAATACTTCAGAGAGTGGGCAACGTGTAGTATAATTATGATGCAGTTAAATTTTTTCCCATAAATTGTCTGTCTGTATGTCGTTTTACCTCGTAAGTACTCCCTAATCCTTTATGTAATTTTATTACACCTATTTTTTCACTAATGCACACTGAGCTCTGTAAGAATTTTAGTCTATTAATCAACTAATAGTCGCTCAGCTAGTCACAGAAGCCCCCGTCCTTCAGAGAACCGTGTTCACAAGAGTCAGACATTGCTTTCATCCTGATGATTAGCCAACCATTCATTAATTTATAAGAGAAGTATCCTCCAACTTAACAGTAATGGGAACTCAATATGTAATTCTTTCTTCCAAACTCCGATGTTCGCTCATTATTCATTTTCTGGCCCCTCCACATCCAGCCCATCATTCGTCTCGATCTGTAATTCTCGTTGTCTTCACGGTTCCTCGGTGCATAGTTCCGGCCTCTGTAAGCCAGATGTCCTCCTCTTCATGGTGACATTTCGACTCGCTTCACTTGTCAAAGGAAAAAGCCGCCACGCCATCCACAGCCGTTGTTGTGTTTTTTCTCCATCTCTCTCTGGAAATAACTGACTGGTATGAGGGTCTCTTATATTGAAGCTTACAAATTGTTATTGCTCAGTTTCGGTGGGGAGGAAAGTACAGGTCTGCGTTATTATAAAGTAGCCTGGGTATGGGCCTAGTGATCATGACATTTGCACAGGAAATGTAAAGTAAAGGAGAGGTCACAGGTTACTTGTCTCATGGTGAGTTGCAACTAAATTCAAATGACCGAGTGAGTAACTCGTGTTTCGAATTCGTAGAGAAGTATACTGGCAAGGTTTTTTTTCTGTCAGTGTGCTAATGAGAATTCGGGTATAGAGCAGTTGGTTAATATAACTTAACCTGTCTTCGTTACTTCCGGTTTTCATTTAACCGATTTCTCCATTTTAATGTAATTTTAACCGCAGAGGCTGACCTACATATCGACGAATGATAAGGAAATATTTAAGTACGGTGAACAGGAACGGATTGGTAAGAAAGCTGCCGTGGCTTATTTTAGGGTAACGAAGAAATATTTTAGTAGGAGAACGGTCACACAGAAGAAGAGACGGGAAAGGAATAATGGATTCCGGATGTAATTAGATTTATGATTTTGCTTACGAGCAGGTTGCTCCCAGCAAGGCTTCCTGTTGCACAGATTTCACCAGTATAAATTCAATTTCAAACGACTCTGCTGTCTTTCCGGTATTAATTTCGTAGAGAAGTAGTTGCGTCTGTGACTATTTCAGAGTAAAGAGCGAACTGAAGGTATGAAGTATTCTTTCTAGTTTCTGTTGTCACATTTATGAAGTTTATTTGCCGATACAGAGGGAACGTATTTTATTGAAGTGACCCAAAATAATTCGCTTTTAGAATACACAAATCATATTTATTATTTTAATAACTTACGCATCACAATATTTTATACGAGGCTTATAAAGGCAATGATGCTTTAGATGTAAGGAGAACGATTCTTTGCCGTGAGTGACGTGAAACTGGGCAAGAAAAGAAGTATTGATCGATTCTTTGTTTAAAGACAAAGTGTAATTTTTGGTTCCCTCATTTTTTCAGGAAAATTCCAATCATATCACTCGATATTACTCACACATGTCATTTGCAGCTCTGTCGTCAAATAACCCAGGAATGAAACACCAATTCAGCCTTTGCTTAAGACAGTGATACTGAAATGCGACCAGTTCATCAATTATTTAGTCAATAGGCATGACGTCATTACTGCTTGTTTAATATTGTACTGAATGTGTCACTGAAAAAAATGGAAGGTTTTGTTGTATGAAACTTTTTCTTCTCTTCTCGTTTGTTTCATTTACAATTAATTACGCACGAGTTGGATTCCCGTTGCTTGTCCGCTAGTCTGAAAATATCCGGAGTTTGAGTGAGGTTCGGCCTTGCATGGTCAGTCAAGTAGAATTGGTATGCCAAATTCTCTTACTAACAACATTACACGTCAACTCACAAAACAAAAAATTAAATAAGAATAGAAAATCTGTATTATCTGCTATATAATGCTTTGGCAATTATGCTTGCTTGAAGAAACAGCTGCAGCTATGCTGGAATTATAGTATGACTCAAAACTTCATTATGAAGGGGACATGTCTAAGATATAATAGTACCATTGTACAGAAACGAATGTAATAGCCAAAGATTCTGTGGGAGATTTTCTTGAATGATAAAGATCTGAAAAATAATTTAGAGCTCATAGCATTACAGAAATTGTTTACTTCACTGTAAACTTAATGTTGCTTAATTTTTGTTACAATTGCTTTATTTAACCTGAACGATGAGGCACAAATATCTCATTTAAGTACCGTTAAAATCAGTATTTCAAACCATTTATGTTATTATGTGTTCAATGAGTTTGCCCTCAACTTCGACGTTCTTTCGCAATCTCATCCAAAGTTTGACTCCAGAATTTGGATTCTGTCTTGCGAAATTCGAAGTTTGAAATTGTCTGCCTGTCCAGTCTAACTTTGACGCCAAACATTACCAGGAACGCTCTTTTGACCTTTTCTGGACTTTCAGGTGATCGAGTGCACTCTTCGATGATGAATATCTGCTCTTCGGTACTGTACAAAATTAAACGAAAACACGTGATAAACAAGTGGCTGTAGTACTGCAGTGTGTCAGAGAAGTTGCTTCAAATTATAATCACTCGTTGCGGATAAAATTGAGTTTAACTAATTTACTTCACGGCTTTCGATTTTCACTTTCCGGATAACAAGTACGTAAGCTTCAGATATGTATTGTATTTACGGAATTAGTGTTCCTGTATATTTATTTATTGATTTATTTATAGTTCTGTAACTTTGCCAGTAGCTCAGATATACTGTCGAATGATATAATTAATCAATAATTAATTGGAAAAAGATATGGAAAAAAGTTGTCGTGGCCTCATTTAAGGTACTATCCCGGCATTTGCCTGGAGGAGTGAGGAAAACCACACAAACCTCAGTTAGAATGGCCGATTTCAGGATCGATATTTTAACTCGCTACATTTCGAATACGAAGAGGACTGCTGATCACTTGGCCGTGTCTTTTCCGATTTCATTCTTGTTCATATGGATTCCACAATGGATGAAGTTGAGCAGTAGTACATTGTTATTGTTGCGATGGGGTGAGACTACAGTCCACGACTGTAATCTTGAGACTTGCAAGGAATGCAGGAAGTCCGTAGCGTTAAAGGAGACACCATCTTTCCTCCTTCCGCCTTCACCCCACCGCCTCACCCCTCAAGTCTCAAGATTACAGTCGTGGACTGTATGTATGTCTCTGTGGAACTGGGTGTTCAACGGGCCCTTTAACCAGCCCCCAGATGATACATGAGTGAATATGGAGCAGCCGTGGAATGATATGAACAGGAAAGAAACCCAGAAGGACTCTGAGAGAATTGTGTCTCGGTGTTGGTTTCTTAACCATAAATCCTATGTAGACTAACACAGGCGCTTACTCGGGCCTGTGAGAAACTGGTGACAGTTCGCCTTATCTCTGATATGACCAAGCCGTGGTACTTACCCTAATTTTAGTCCTATTTATTGTGACTTATCACGTGTAGGTACGTTAGGTTGTGTTGGTTTATGTTAGGTTAGGTTTATTTGCTTCTGCTTCTTCTGGGTATTAAATAAGCAGATACCTATATTTCACATGTGAGTAAAAACACTTCAGTGCATATAAAGCACTCCGCTAGGTACAATGTGGCATTCTGTTAGTTTAAAATTCGTATGTAAAAGCAAATTTATTTCTTTATATAAAATATTTTTATTGATACCCAGGCGGAACGAACACACACTATAATCACTGATGTGTTTAACGTTAAAGCAGGTGATGGGTTAATCGAAGAAATTGTTGGTAAAGAAGCAAAAGTTCTGGCGGAGATGTCAGTCGTCGTGCGTTGCATCCTGTAGTTTGCGTGCCTCGCTGTGCTCCTCCGGTGTATTCCAATCTCGCATTCCATGTCGCCCATTTGTGATTATTAAGGTCATACTCTTCTTCTTACATTGCTACCAGGTAATTTAAGTCGGCATAATCTCATGAAAGAAAAAATAAAATACTATTTTTAATGGTAACTACTGGAAATGCTCCAAACATTTCAACAATGACGGCATCCATGCACTTTGTTTCGTGTAGGAAAAAATAAAATAAGTATAAGATGAGATTCTGTTATGAGAAACGTATTTAATTTTAATGTAACTAATAAATATAAGGCTATTCTTTTATTCGTAACACAGGTATAGCGCCTCACCTTGTCAGAGGTCACTTAACCCGAAGTCAAGTCAAAGCGTCTCGCGGTGTTCAAACGCGTGACCAACTAAAACTGAAGGAAGAATAACAAGAAAAACAATCAGTTTGTATTTTCTTTCCAGCGAAATATCTCTTAAACTCACTGCTTGCAGGTGTTTTGTTCCTAGGTTATTCAATAAAACTATATATGCAACACAAGATACCGAACATCAAATTAAATGATGGAATTCTTAGGCACAGCGAACTCAAAAGTAGCAAAGAGAAGACGTACGTGGTCTATCGATACGAGCCCTATATTTTTCTTGATACGCTCGGAAATATACCAAATGTCAGAATATGGGACCCGTTTATGTGAGTTGTAAGGCCGTGTAGAAGTTGATTGATTTTGTCTTTCCATGTACTAGATGACATAGAAACACTCACATTCATGTATCTCAAACATGTGTCATTTACCTAAAGTGGTAAACCCATTCCTTCGTTAGATATGCTACGTTGTCTCGGCGGTGAAGTTGACAATGTTCTTCCGGGATGTGACGCTGTCGAGACTCGTAGGTAGATACTAAAGTTTCGGAGAAACATAATGCCTCGATCTTCGGTCCTCCATTTTCAGCCCTGAAGATGTAGCCAGTCTGTTTCTCCGAAACTTTTGTATCCATCAACGAGTCTGTACTGCGTTAACAACCCATAACAACAACTCCACCCTCCTTGAATTAATCTGACCCTGAACTCTTGCGACATCAAGAATGTAACGTTAGGGACTATACGACTAGCTATGTCTTATGAAACTGGATTCTTTCCTATTCTAGAATGAAATACAACACACAGGGATGAACCCTATCACCTTGTAACTTCAATTTAACTTAAAAGAAAACAAGTCAGGAGACAGGATAGCTAATACATTTCGGAAACATGCACTGCCTGGTAGCTAACAGTCAGAGAGACCATCCCTAAGAAAGGGTTGTTGTAAATCGGAATATTTGACCCCACGGCTTGTGGTAATAACTTAGTTTACTTCTGCCTGTATTTGTACTTCGACCCCCCATACGCCTTTGGAATTAAAGATTGTTGGTTGTTAGTGGACTCATTGACTATGACTGGTGGGCCTGTGCGTATAGAATTGCTGTCGATTCCAGGTCTTGATCTCTGGAACATGAGGTTTGTGGGATAGAATTCTGCTTGGGACTTGGTGCGCCCCCTCACTGGCGACCGTGACAAGATTAAAATAATCCCAGAGGCCGGCAGGTGGTACGGTCATAGGATCATTACACGGGTTAACCCAAAATACAAAATAAATGCACTCACAAAATTACCAAAATGTATTTAAAAAAAGAACATGCAGACACAAATTAAACCTCCCAAGGTTCAGGCTCCGGTCGGGGTTAAGACTAGCTACGTAAAACAAACGCAAAAATCAGACCTATCTGTCTTCAAGCTCTCTCCTTGAGTCGTTCTCTGCCCGACGGACACACACTGACTGTCTGCCGCACTGCCTCATCAAGGCCTCGAAGCCAGAGGCTCCAAAGATCGTCGAGATGGGGGAGATAGGCTACTTCGAGCCATGAGGCTTGGCTCATTGGATGGATGCCCGCCCTGTATTTTCCTGTGCAGGTAGATGCCTTGCGATAAGCCAGTCCCCCATTCAAGGTGTCCCACAGAATATGAATTGGATTAAATTAAATAAGACACACCATAACCTAAACCGACAAGAGACTGGACCAAAAAGAAGACACAAATCCCTTATTCTAATTGCTCACTTTACTGTTGTGTAAGCTATGAGTATTTGTTTCCTTCTCGTGCTGCCTCACTAATTTCGGAAGGTTCAGTAACATTCCTGTCCTTCGTTGGATTACGCGCGTTCTGTTAGTCCTAATGCATTATTTTTTATTCTCTCAATCATGACATGTAGTAAAAAATTAAAGAGACCTAAGTTATTTATATTATTGGTGCCTGTCGAATTGTTCTATGAGCACTAAAAAACTTATATTTATATAATCATATAATGTAACTAGCTAATAGGTTACATATATTTTCTTATATTGGCTAATTGAGTTTGATCGATATACTGCAGTATGGGCAAGCAAATTTAAGTTGCACGCTCTTTTAAACCATCTAAATATATATAATTTTTCCAACACTCGTGATTAGGTTAGGCGAGATTCGAGAAGATACATGTAGCCTGCTACCAAGAAGAATAAGATATAAGCTAAAATTTTCCGAAAATGCCTTCAGCTACAGTAGAGTTTGTTTGGCAGCAGACTTTCAATTCCACCGATATCAGCTGCTTGACGCTTTCTCGTCGTTTCTCTGTCCTTGGATAAAGTCATGTTTCTAAAGTCTCACAAGTTTTAATAATGATAATACTAATGCCGTATCTGTGTTTGAGATCTTGGGAGGAAACATCTTGAAAATAAACCTACAGAACCTTGCAATAACCTTGAAATTTAGAGCTTAAATTCTGCAGTTTGGTTAGTTTCAGTTTTTTTTAACGGAAACGTTTCAAGGCTTGGACAATGTAATGGACAATTTAATTCGGGCTAACAATGATTGCAGGAAATTGTATTTCCGGCGCTGGCTGATACATTTTTAATACACGGCAAGATCAAAGAATGTACAGACTCCTCCCTATCATTATTTGTCATCAGGCTGATGACGTGTTTCCTGTTTTTAAGTCTTGTTTGCTGGCTTCTCCTGTTTGCATGTAGTGCTACAGAACCCAGTCTCTTACATTTGTCATTCATTTCCAGCTAGGCATCGCAGTCCAGTAATAACGAAGAAATCTCATGTTTAGATTATTCCTGTATGTATATCCTTAAACTAAGACTGAAATTCAACTGCGTTGCTGGGGCCGACCACGCAGACTGCTGCTAACGACTACCCGGGGAGTCATTTGTATGGAAATATGTGTTTTCTATTCCATGTCCACATTATTATAGGAGGCGGTGTGTAAAATTTATTCTCAGGCTGTGCCTGAGGAGCATGTTCTGTTCCGTACCCGCCTCCCTTCCTCTCAGAGGTCCAGTATTTTGGCCCACAGTGCATACAGAAAGAGAAGGGGCTTGAGCAGTGATTCGCAAACGCTGTATTATGAAACCCATAGCATTGTTCTGAAATACAGACCTAATGCGCTTTATAAACAATTGGCGTTACGATACATCATTAGAAGTGAATCACAGATTAGCGACTCCCTGAAGCAGCGTTCTTGAGAAGCTAATATTTGCTCATCTTGTTGGGTAATTCCGTTTCTTTTATAGAACCCAAAGTTCGTTACTGTGCTCACTAGAACCCGCGACGGGCCTTCACCTGAGAATCCAGTCAACATCACATTTCTACCAGATTAATTTTAATGCTGTTCACAGTACTACGCCTTTGTGCTCTAAGTTTCCTGGTTTTCCAACGAAAATTATCTTAACTGTTGCGCATTAACAAGCGTTCTACTTGTCCCGACTATCGTGCAAGGCAGGAAACCTCATAACTGGATTTTAACCATCGACCCCGATGTTGTGGAAGTCGTCCGAACTGTCTAATAGAATAACGATTCCTTGACACCGAAGGGTAAAGGTAGTATAATCGAATAGGTTTTGGGCTGTAAAAGGCACAGGGCCCTGTTTCTATGTAAATAAATCGGCGATTAAAGAACTCTTATATTAATTTTGGGTTTCCTTCATAATAAGCCTATAATAAACACTTCAGACAAATCTAAAAAAATATTCATTTTTGCTCATAAATTGAAAAATGAACTCATTCGTTGTAGCAGAGCGTATACAGTATTCTCGAAGTTTAATCGTAACTTGTATTCAGGAGGTAACTGGGTACACATCTATGAGTCGCGCTGTGAGGTCGGGATCTAGCCCTTGTTAAATGCGACTAACGGCTGTCAGCAGTCTCTCAAGAGTTCTTGTTCTGCTCCATAATGTGCGTGTACTCTTCTGCTTGTCAGCAGGTGGGCACTACTAATATACAACTATCAGCCTCCATTGCTACTTCTTGCTAAGCGATCGATTAATTTACGCTGATGTTTGTGATTTCATTTTCCGTTTTACTTTCAATTTTCTCTAGGTCACAGTGGCATTCCGTCAGGTAGCTTCGGAACCGGTCTCTGCAGAATCATGATATTTCTTCATGCAGTACGAAGTAGTCATAAACACTGAACTGCAAAAATTCCCCAGCATGACTTTTCTTTCATCAGCTCT